GAAAATTGGTACAGAATTCAGTATCCTCAGCTATTACTTCTGCTTTTTCTGCTATTGGTCTATCTGGTAAGAATTCAGCATTTACTTCTTTTGTAAATCCTCTTTGGTTTATTGATTCTGGTGCTTCAAATCATATGACTCGAGCTCATGCTACCTCTAGTTTAGCCAAACCTTTCCAAGGGAATAATAAAATTGAAACCGCAAATGGTGAAAAACTTGATATAGTTGGTGCAGATAATCTTACATTATCTGTAGCATCTCAATCCTCCTTTCATTTGCCAAATGTCTTTCTAGTACCCAAATTAACTACCAACTTAATTTCTGTTGGACAACTTGTTGATGATTTTGATCATGTTGTTTCTTTTTCTCGTTCTGGTTGTGTTATACAGGACCGTCGCACTGGGATAGTGAAAGGGAAGAGGCGTAAGATTGGTCGCTTGTTTGCCTTGGAATTTGACAAAGGACATAGTGATGCTGGTTTATTTGTTTCTTCTAATAAAGATGTCTCTAGTTCTCATAATCTTTGGCACTTATGGCATCGTAGACTTGGTCATCTCAATGTTAAGAGATTAGATACATTATTTACTTTTGGTCTTTTGAATAATAAAACTTTGCCATTGGATTCCATTGATAAATCTTGTATTAGTTGTTCTTTGAGTAAAAGTGCAAACTTACCTTTTCCAACTCATTCTTCAACTTCAACTAAACCTTTTGATTTGATACATAGTGATGTTTGGGGTCCTTCTCCTGTTTCATCTAGATTGGGATATAAGTATTTTGTTTTATTTATCGATGATTGCACAAGATTCACATGGATGTATTTTATGCGACACAAATCTGAAGTGTTCTTTCATTTTAAGACCTTTTTGTCCATGATTAGAACACAATTTGATACTAATATAAAAATTATTCGTTCTGATTCTGGGGGTGAATATTTACTAAAAGAATTTCAAGAATTTTTGAAGGTTGAGGGTATTTAGTCTCAGAGGTCATGTCCTGCTACCCCACAGCAAAATGGTATTGCTGAAAGGAAAAATCGTCGTATTTTAGGGGTAGTTAGAACTTTGTTATCTAATTCTCATGCTCCTCCTAATTTTTGGGTTGAGGCTGCTTCTACGGCAGTTTATCTCATTAACCGTATTCCTTCTGAAGTATTGCATAACATCTCTCCATATTACTCCTTGCATAAATGCCATCCTGATTATTCTCGTTTACATGTTTTTGGTTGTGTGTGCTTTGTTCATTTACCACCTCATGAAAGGACAAAATTATCAAATCAAGCTACCATGTGTGTTTTTGTTGGATATGGCATTGATCAAAAGGGTTTCTTGTGTTATGATCCAAAAATTGGTAGAATTCGCATTTCTAGACATGTGGTTTTCCTGGAAAATTTATTTTATTTTGATGCAATTGCAAAACCCAATAATTCCTCACCTTCTGTGTTGCATGACTTTCACTTGACCATAATGCTCCAGCAGAACAAGTTTCCATTGATCAATTCCATGCAGCAAATGAACAACCTCAAACTTGTTCCTTTCACCAACCAGAAGATGGTACACCTGTGGATGCTCAATCAGTAAGTGATTCTAATCCTGCTTCTAATGCCTCTACTAATTCCATTGTTTCTTTACGTCGTTCTGCACGTCCTATTCATCCACCTGATCGTCTTAACCTTTTTACCTCTGTCTCTTTGTTGACAACATTAGATTTTGTTGATATACCTCGTTCTTACTAAGAGGCTGTTAGCATTCCTTGTTGGAAGGAAGCTATGGATTCTGAATTAAGTGCCTTATTGGAGAATGACACTTGGGATATGGTACCTTGTCCTTTTAATGTGTCTATTATTGGTAGCAGGTGGGTCTTTTCTGTTAAGCTCAAAGCAGACGATAGTATTGAGCGGTATAAAGCAAGACTTGTTGCCCAAGGTTATAAGCAAGAGTATGGAATTGATTATATAGAAACATTTGCACTAGTGGCTCTGATACCATGTAAAGTGAGGCGGAAGTGGAGGGTGCAAAACCAACTTACCGAGCTGCTCACCCTTAGCAACATATAAATATTAGGTTATATAAAATGTAAAGTTACATAAAAGCCCTTAATATAAAACAAAATTACAAAATATGCCTATTTCCTACACCTTATCTCTCTGAAGTGGTTTAAGGACCATGCCCACTTCAATCTTTCACCTAGAATTTGGCAAGAAAAGACCAAACTCAA